GCTATGAGACTTGGGTGGCATCTCTGACTGCCACCCCCCTGACCCAGAAATGGATTAAAGGGTAGAAAATGGATGGATGGATGGATGGATGCATCACTGTATATGCAGTACATCACAGCAGCTGGCTCATATGTATCACATAGCGATAAAGTACTGGTAACTATCAAATTGGACAAGACTTCAAACCATAAAGGCTGATGGAGTAAATACCACTGTTTCGAAGGCAGTTATTGTTATACTTTTGACGTACTCTATTTCATTTAAGCGTACAGCTTGACTATTTGTTCTCAAGAATTGGTACAAATATATTGCACACTATTTGCATTTTGAATTACATTTCAGACCCACTAGGAGCATATTTGGAAACTTGTTAGGCAACCAAAAAGATGCCTAACATCTATGTGAATGGAGTGGCTCTAAAAAATCGATACAGAGTGAAAATACTTTGTCATTTCAAAAGCATATTAAAAATGTAGGTAAATCAATAAATTATTCTTAAACAATCTTTAAGACATATGAGGAACAGTCTGACCGTTGAGGTGGCGACTGTTGCAGAGTTTTAACAATTTAATTAAAATCACAAATTATTTAGCTCCACTTCCTCTGAAAATCTTTGTCAAACTTTGCTTGGAACAAATATCTTGATCGACCCGGTCCACTGTGAACAACAACCAACAAGATAGTCAGCTTTTCCATCATCGCTCTTCTCATTTCGCACCATCAAACCGTGGAACCAGCTTCAGACAGTCTGAAACTGTTCTGTTGCTCTAAAACATGGTACTATAAAATTGAAAAAACACATTTTACATTGCCAATCGAATGAACATTAATAACTTTAAAAACATGTTTATTGTAGTCATTATAGAAAAAAAACATTGACTGTGTTTATACGGTTGTTTTAAGTAAGTTAGTTAGCTTAGGAAAGTAGATATAGCTAAATCAAGTGCTCTTCTTTTGTAAAGACTTATGATTTTATACGTTAGGTTTCAGTTCTCCTAAGTCTATGAACAGTGGGTTTGAATGATGTCCATTATAGACATCATTCAAACCCACTGTTCATAGACTTAGGAGAACTGATACTGAAAGATTACATTTAAAACTGCTCAAATAGTGTTCCGGGCATCTGAAAACTCTCTGCCATTTAAGTTACAGAACCTTTTCCATGATCGAGATGCTCATCATAATTATAGACTAAGAGGCAGTAAAAAAGTGTATGTGCCTAAATGTTACTACTTAAAAATCAATGTGTGTGTCAGTGCGAGGAGTCGCTGTTTGGAACAATCTATCAGAGGAATTAAAGACCTGCTCAAACCTGAACACATTTAAAAGAATGTTTTAAAAAAGCACAGAGCAAGTAGTGGGAGAGAGGTGTTGGGTCGGAGAGTGTTTGGGCCTGTGTGTTGTCAGTGTGTGTGTGTGTGTGTGTTTAGTGTTGTCTGTCTTATACCATCGGTGGTAGTTTTGTATAACTGTTTTTGATGTACCGTTGTATGTTTGAGAATTCTACTGCATGATATTATTAAAACACTTTGTCTGATGGAGTTGGAACGTGAGATCAAATTGGGACAACTGCAATAAAAATAAACAAACTCTACAATCTCAAATCAATATGTTCATAGATGCCCACAGCTTTGAAGGCTCTCCTTTTGGAAGACAATAATCAGCCAAACGGTGAAACCCATTGCTTTACTTTCCTGACTTTAAACTGAAGCTGTGTTGGCATATTAATTAAATTTGAATAGATTTCTCCACAGGTTTGACTTATCAGGGTGACAACAGCTTCTCGGATGAGAGAAGAGACAGCAGTAAATTACTTGTGTTGGCGAAGAAGATGCTCGGGGGAAGCGGCAGATGCGGCTAAGGCATTGCTATTTCATCTTGCGTGTCACACTCTGCACAATGCATTAAAACACATTTTCAATCTCCATCCATGGGCTTAAGCGTGATGAAAATCTTGCACCGCTGCCATAGGAATTGATAACAAAATGTATTATAGCTTTGAATAGTACTCAAATTATCAATGAAAAAGGCAAAACTATACATATCACAGCACATTAAAAGGTGTGAAGAGACAATCCATCTGATGTATGCACAGCTAAACAAACCCCTTTTTAACCTGGAATTCAAGCATTGCTGGAGAAGTCCGTCTCACATTTTCAGGAAGACTGTTCCAGATTTATTTGTGTTTTGACTTTTTAAAAAGCCTCATCTCTAACTACTATCACATTTAGATTGTCACAATCTGGGTAAATTCATCACCAAATCAATGGCTAAAGTTTGTTTTTGCTCCACAGCAAGAAGATCCTGGGTTTGATGCCGCCGCCAGGTCTTTTTGTGTGGAGTTTGCATGTTCTCCCTGTGTCTCCTTCATGTGCTCCGGTGTCCCCTAAAATTTTTTTACAATGGGTGAGAATGTAATGTAAATGAATGGGAAAACATGTTCTGTACTGCACGCCAGAAACATTGTGAAGTGATCCTTGTTCTGTGAAATGCACCACATGAGTAGATCACTTAAAGTCAGTCAGACATATATATGAAAATAAATGGACAAATACTGATCAATGTGAATAGTTTCGGACACAAGTCCGGGATACCCGGCACCTACTCCATATTAGGAGGAACGTTGGTGCTCACACATCTGCCAGGCATTGTGTAGTAAGTCCAAAAGAACATCTCCAGATAATCTTGGCCCCAGTCTTGAGTTTGTGAAGCCATTTATGGAAGCCATACACAACATCATGTAATTATCCTTTTATTACAGAATGACAGCACAGTTAGTGCACGATGAATGGAGAAAATGACACAAAGCTCCACATGGACATGTTTGTGAGAATTTCTACAGCACATATGGTGTAGAAACATAGTGCCTTGCTTTGTTGCTCTGCTGTGTTTGACTTGAGTATTCAGGCAGCCAGCGGAGGACACTCCCTCAGATGAGCTGACGGAAGTGTGAATAATATATATATATAACGGTTGATGCCTATTCAGATTTCTATAACTTAACTTTTGTAAATGTTTTGTTTACCAACTGAAGGCCAACTGATAAACAACTATCAACACATCAAAACAATCAAAAGAGCAACACAAATGTACTTACCATAAAACTCATTTCTAATATTTGAATAGGAAAAACACAAAAATTAAGCACAATACCCAATTTAAATGACATTGCTGCCTCCTTGGGCAAGACACTTAACCCCACATTGCCTGAGGCTCCCGCTGAAACACCAAGGCAGTGGCACCACTAATGTAGCTGCCATCTTCCTGTGGACTCACCACCTGCCGGAGGATCAGCGAGGGACTGGTGCTATGAGCATTGGGTGGCATCTGGGTGTCACCCCCCCACCCCCAGACGCCCAGAAATTGACTATAAAGGGGTAGAAAATGAATGAATAAATGTTTTGCCCAATATCTGACGGGCTCTTCTGTAAGGGTGGGCAATGGCCACTAGATGTCCTCATAGTTGCACCTAAATTGCGAGAAGTGGTAATGACATGTGAACAACAGATTTCAATGATATTTTATGCATTATTTAACTTTTTCGCCTTTGTCCACCAGCGGTTTGTTGTCATAGAAATGTTCATATATAATTTTCATATATAATTGTATTCCCATATATAGTATATATCTGTGGATAAATGGGAATAAACTAGGATCATTGTATCATGTGTTTAATGCTCCAATTTAATTGCACTGCATTTTTAACAGATACATGAAATATAAAAATGCACATTTAAACATCCATTACTAGGCATATATAAATGCATATATTCAAATAAGGGGTAAATAAAAAGTACAATATTTGTTTATTTTCTGATTCCAAGGAAGTTCTTTGAGTATTATTGCAATGGCAGGCAAAAAAATAAAAAAATCCTGAGCAAGAAGGAAAAAACATTAGTTCCCTGACCGGGAATCGAACCCGGGCCGCGGCGGTGAGAGCGCCGAATCCTAACCACTAGACCACCAGGGAAACATGCATATACAGATACAAATATTGTAAATTAAACATAAACAAAGATCCATGTGGAATAGATATTTTAAATGTAAACAACAATATCCCGAACTAAAAAACTACAATATACGAAATTAAGGATCCAACAACAATGTGTCACGCCACGATTATATATAAGAGGTATATGATATAGTATACTGCCGATGACTCTATGGTATACACACAGACAAATCTAATGCAGAAAAACGGTTTATATGTAAATCCACGCAACTGTGAAAGGCCGTGGATGAGGAAGACAGCACCCACTGATTTTCCTTGAAAGCCATCCGTCTTTTAAAATGATGATTAAGATCGAGCAGAAGGAGGCGCTGTAAATAACGGGACAGAGTTCAGCGTGGGAAATGACAAAAAATCACAACAGCATCAAGCAATATTTGTAACCACGAAATTACCGGAAGTGAGAATAAGATCTCTCCATAATAAAATAAACAAGTTGTTTTATATAACATATTTGCTGACTATTGTTAAAACATTGATGTTAATTATCACTAAAAAGATTACAATTAAAAATATTAGTATGAAACACAAAGGTCACGCCAGGATAGCAGTGCGTCAGAGAACGATTGCTCACGTGACGGAAACATTTATTTTGAAGGGGTAGGCGGAAGTTGCTCCTCCCGTCATATCAGCGTGTAGCTTGTGCTGAGTGTGAGAAAGACTTGTACTGGAAGACTAGAAAAGACCGTAGACGTGTGTCGGCGTGATATACATCTCAGGGTTCGTATTTTTACTCATTGAATTTGCTGTATTTCTAAGTCGTGTTTGCGTGTGGGCTTTCTACCGCTCTGTGTCTCTGCCTGTTTCACCCGTGTTAGCTCCACGGCTAAAGCTAGCATAGCGAAACATAGCGCGGCCACGGTCTCACTCTACGCTATGTCTTTCTTGTCTGTGTTCTCAGGTGGCACTTTGGATTGACACCAGCACCAAGACGACTCCATTGGATCTATAACGTTTTCTTTTAGGATCTGTATCGAGCTGGAGCGTAAAAATGTCAGGACAGAGCATTACAGACCGGATAACCGCAGCTCAACACAGTGTCACCGGTTCGGCTATTTCTAAAACCGTGTGTAAAGCGACCACACATGAAATAATGGGGCCAAAGAAGAAACATTTGGACTGTAAGTATTGCTAACATGTCTTCTCTGCCCCTCTGTGACTGTTGTGTTTGAAGGTACTCTTGGTTGTGTTGCGTTATGCTACAGCAGTGGATAATGAGGCCTGTGGTACATTTAACACCAGCAGCTGTGCAGAGATGGGCTTTTCCACTTGCGGAAACAATGCACTGGTTATAATCGTCACAGAATGCCCACTTGGCTAGTTATGGTGCATTTCTCCAACAATTGCATACTTTTAACAACGTGGAATTATACACCTTTAGCACGTATTGCATATTGTGAGCAGAACTTGTATCAAAGTACAACTCTCCAGTCGGGGGTATTTGCTACCTTTTAGAGTAGGAAGGAAATGTATTGACTTTCTACTGTTCTGTGTCCTTTTTAAATTGTGCAATGCAAACATGACTTGTGTTTGTTAAAGGGGGACTCTCTATAATCTTGGTATTTTGTCTCACAGCAGCCATTTTTATTAATTCCGTTACTAAACTTAAAACCAAATAAACTGTTCCTTACCCTGACCCTTACTCGATTGTGCCCCTCAAATCCTGATTACATTTGTTTTTATATTCCTCTGTTTGGGATGAAACGCCGCAATTCTTGAGTCCGGTGTCAAAAGCAGGTCATTACTTGGCTTCATTTTATTTCAGGAAGTGCATGTGTGCAGTGGACTTTGACTCTGGGCTTTATCGGGACACTGTCCCTTTTGACTGGTGTGACAACATGTTCCCTTGTTTCAGGACAGGCTTTTTCAGACACCAGCTCGACCATTCATAGACTTTGGAATTTCTTATCTTGAGCTCAGTGTGCTCTTGATTCACAAACATTTGCGAGTCACTTGTGTATTTTCTAATCGTTGTATTGAATTTTTGACTGGTCTTGCCACTGATTTATTTCTGTAGTCAACTGGCCAAGGATTATTTATTGGATTGGTCAAACTATTATTTCACCTTAACTTTAAATAGATGTTAAATTACTCAAATTGGAACTTTTCGACCGAATTTTGCTCAGAAAGCATGCAGATTTACTCCAAACAGCAGACCTCCGTTTTGTGCTACACACGCAATACTACATTTTGAACTCTTGAAGAAGATGACATAGTCTGGGATTGCGTCTTTAATTCAGACAGAAGACATGTTTTATTGTCAATGGTAGAGACAGCACGATCAACAGATACAACAGAATGCAAGTGTATTATACAGAGCGGAGGCATGGAGACCTCCAATCAGCAGCTTCCACGGTGCCATGTAGCTTGGCCTTCAGATAGACAAAACAAGGGAAAAGTACTGGCTTCTGCACATTGATAGAATGATGAGTTTAACTTTAACAAAAGTTGCTTAAAAGTGTTATGAAATCTCACATTCCCCCCTCTGGTCACACATTCACGTGTGACCATCAGGATCGATAAACAGCAACATAACATCATAACTCAATACTTCAAAAACTCAAACTCGGTACTTCACTCGGTACTTCAAAAACTCAGAACTCGGAATACTTCAAAAACTCATAAAACATGTTCGGATCTTTCATAAAACTTGTCAACAATCTTCAGTAAAATGCCAAACTTCATCAGTCGATGGTTCCAGATATTGCTTTGAAAACAGTCTCTCCCACTTCTCTGTTGATTTCTTCAGGCTGCATTTGTGTCGAGCCATGAATTCTTCTGTGACGTGTCTTTCAATCACACGTTTCAGCTTTAGTGTCCAGATTCAGAAATCCAATTGTTCCAAATTAAGTCCTTGCAAAAGAGGACGCTGGTGTTGTCCATGTCTCAGCAGCTCACAGCCTGAGTGGAATCAGGGGCTGTGCAGATTGTCCATGTGCTGATCCAGATGCATGGGTTCTCTTGAGGTTTTTCAGTTTTGGCTTGAAAAAAAACACTTTTTGTGTAAAAAAAAAAAAAGTCTTCTGTTCTCTAGATGTTACAGACAAGGCCCGCATCCTTCCACCACCTGAAGAAGATGACATAGTCTGGGATCGCGTCTTTAATTCAGACAGAAGACATGTTTTATTGTCAATGGTAGAGACAGCACGATCAACAGATACAACAGAATGCAAGTGTATTATACAGAGCGGAGGCATGGAGACCTCCAATCAGCAGCTTCCACGGTGCCATGTAGCTTGGCCTTCAGATAGACAAAACAAGGGAAAAGTGCTGGCTTCTGCACATTGATAGAATGATGAGTTTAACTTTAACAAAAGTTGCTTAAAAGTGTTATGAAATCTCACACTCTATTTTTCATACTAGTAGTCTATACAAATGTCTGTACTACTGCAATTATTAAAAGATGTTTTTAGACGGTAAACTATTTAAAAAAAAAAAGCAAGTCACTACATTTAGAATCAAACAATTGTCAGAAACTTCCTGGCTGTGACAGCACAGATTACTGATGCAATCCACCTGCTGGATTTTAGTTAACTGCAAACTGTTATGTCTGAATACTAATTTTGTATCTGCTTTAATTTAAACAAACTAGTTATTTGGGAATAATAAACTACTAAATAGCCAAAACGGGCTTGATAATTTATTCTAACAAACTGGCAACCCAAATGAGATATTGACAGTGTCCAGTGTTTTCTAATGAAAAGTAACTCCACTTTGTTAAGAAACAGTCAAATTATTTGTACACATTGCCCTGTTTTTTGAGGACTCGATACCATTATGTAGATGTAGTTAAATGAAGATATTACATGCTGTATTTTTAATGAAAAAACTTATTACGTCCAATATAAAGTTCTTCTGACATAGTTCATAATGTATCAAGAAATGTCCTGTTTATATAATGTATTTTGTATTGATACTAGGGGTGGGAACCTAAGGGTACCTCACGATACGATACAAAGCTCACGATACGATACAAAGATCACGATAACGATATTACGATAACGATTTTATCACGATATGACGATTATTGATATTTGTCAGAAATATACAATATGCCAATTTATGGCATAAATAAAATAAATACTCTTTATTTCATGATAAATAGAATGGAGATGCGTAATGTAGCCATATATTAAGTATTGATACCAATTATAAATGTTTTTTTTTTTTTTTTTCAAAATCGATATTGATACTTGGCAAATGCATATTGATAATCGAATCGCGGGAGAAAGTATCGCGATATATCGAAAAATCGATCACACCCCTAATTGATGCACACTAAAATTAGAATCTAGTGCAAGTACTCAACTGGGTTTAGTACTCAATACTTTTGATGTACTTCCTTTACCCCTAAGTTTGGCTTCTATGTGCAACAAAGATTTGTAGGCCCCTGTTACTCTCCTGGATGTAGACCGTGATCTGAACTTGGGTGAAGGTATTTAAAGAGGATTGATTTTTGAACTGTCCACAATATACATTTAGCTTGTGCTCCATCTCGTCTGGACTGCAGGTGAAATATGCTCTGCCTTTCACTGCCTTTCTGGACCGGAGAGGGGCCTGGTTTGACATTCTTTAACGCTGGCATGCTAGATAAACTCGGTCACATAACTTGTGCACTGTGCTGCTCCCTGACTGAGCCCAATACAGAAGGCAAAGTGTTTGTCTACTTCAGCATTTAAAGTGTTTGTTTAAAGTAAGTGTGAAATGAGCTCAAGCAAAAAAGACTTCTAATTGAGTCGCACAGAAAATGAAAGTTAAATTCTCAATTCCAGCTCTTAAAATTCTGTTTTCATAATCTGACTAAAGGGTTACAGGTTTTTGGCTCTTGATATTTGACTTGGATTCATAAAGATGTATAAAATGTATATTTTTTTGCTCTTCTAAAGTGAAATATATTTCATTAATTTAATATGGACATAACTATAACATCGGACGATTCAGATACATTGCTGTGTGTTAAAGCTCAGGTGCTAATTTTCAGCAATAGCCCACAGGGGGCTTTTACATTACAGAAGATAAAATGTAATAAATATATATATTTGTCAGTGTTCCCCATTTCAGGCAAAACGGGCAAGGAGGCATGTCTGATTTGAAGGGCACTGGCACGCGGAAACCTTTGTAAATAGGGGCATACCCAAGATATAATCTTTCTGATAAGTCACTGAATTCCATGGAAGTTTTAATATTTTTTTTGTATTTTTACATACATAACATTTAAAAAATAAATGAAAATTTAAGATGGACAAAAAAAATAAAAAGATGTTTATCATGCCCATTTGAAGATTCGGGGAGGAAATGGGTGGCGGGCTTTGATTTTTAGTTCAAGCTAGCAGATTTTTCTAGCAGAAATTCTGTACGAGTGTCTTCTGTCTCTGTCCCGAGTAGGGATGTGCTAATAGTTAAAACGTGTCAAAAGTATGGCAGTATTTCTCACTGGAAAACGAGGACACTACAAAAGCAGCATGCAAAGTATGTTTATTGGGAGAGGTGGGAGCAGCAAAGTTACTCTCTACACAACAAATCTGTTATGGCATTTGAGGGTTGAACACGAAACTGAGCATATGCCGTAGTAGTTTGTTTTTGTGACTTGGGGTTACACTACATTAAAATTCGGTAGTGATGGGCAGATAAAGCCTTGTAGCACACTAAGGCTAAGTTCGGACAGAGATCAAAGGCAAAAAATGGTGATCGGGACATCCCCAAGACCCTCCAGAGAGGTGTCTGCTGAGAGTTTTGCTATGTATGTATTCTATTATTAAAGAAGCTATACCCGATTTTTTTTCTAAGTAGTTCATAAAAATGCTTTTTACTACATACAAGTTGTATCATAATACATCATTTAATTGAAAACTTGAGGTAATTGATTCAGCTGTGTAAGAATTACAAGCAGTGAAAAGTGCAGAGTAGAGTCTGAGCGGACCGCTCTTTCTCCTCCACTCACAGAACAAGGAGCGACCAGTCTGCGTCCTCTAGCCCCTACAGCGCTGCTTAACACCAGGGCTTCGACTTACGAATTCGAATATAAATTCTAAAATAAAAAAATGATGAACAAAATAATTGAATAAAAAAATGTGAACAAATATTAGACAACCATTGTAATTCGAAATGTATTTAATGACTG